AAGGAATTATTTTATATCGGACCCCTAAGTCACTTTGGGATTACTTAGAATGAAGAAAATGAAAGCTCTTTGAACTCTAGTTTTATCAACTGCTAAAAGGCTCTCTCTTGGCTTTTGTAATCTGGTACTTGTATCAAGTTATCTCTAAAATGTTATACCTAGGAGAGTAAAGATGTAATTTATACCCAGAGTGAGGAAAATAGTAAAATCTTTGGGAGCTTTTTGACTTGAAAATAACTTAAATTTTGGGATTAAAGTGGGTTCTCAGTTATATTCTGTCAAAAGTATTGTTTGTATTTATTTATTTATTTATTTATTTATTTATTTATTTATTATCTTTATTGTTGAAAGTATTACAGATGTCCCCCTTTTCCCCCATTGATCCCCTCCACCCGACATCTGCCCCCCAGGCCTTCTCCACACTATTGTCTGTGTCCATGGGTTATGTGTGTAAATTCTTTGATTAATCTCCCCCACACACTTCCCTACCCCCACTTTCACTCTGATATTCCTCAGGATTGTTTTTAGAATATAAAGTTACACAGTGTTATTTGAAGCTTTAATATTTATTTGTTTTTCTGCACTTATTACACTGTCCAACTTAAAATAATACTAATACAATATTGGCACCCCCAAAGTAAACCAATTTTACAGAAATGTAAAGTCTAGTGTTAATATATATCCCCTTTTTGAGCTACATTAGCAAAGGTTTATAAATACACAAGCCATTTAAAGAAAGCTCAAAGCTACCAAAAGCACACTCCCAAATCATGTTTTTGAAAATGCTAATTTAGCTATCTCTAGTGCCAAACATATGCTTTAAACTACCCCAAGAAAACATTTTCTGAAATCACAAATCTCAATCTGATGTTTACTGAAAACTGTTGTTTGAAATCACAATTTTAACAATTTCATAGCAATAGCAAGTAGCAGCAGAAGATAGGAAACCAGAACCCTATATTTTATTTCCAAGGGCAGAGATTAAGCAGGCCATACTCTTACAGGACTTAAGCACCCCAGCAGATTTAAGGAAATCAAGCAGGAAGATGATCTGATAACAACTGCACACTCAGGTGGTAGGGATTTCATGTGTCACTTCTGCATTTTTTAGAAAGAGGGCACTGCTTACCAGAAAGAAATGAATTTCCTTAAAGGAAGAATTTCAGACACTGGCAAGGTGGCAGATTTTTCAACAGGGGTTTCCTGGGACCCTCAAATGACACCATAAACGCCACTTATTCTGCCTGTAAATAAGGCAAGCTCTTCAAAATATTTGTGAAAGAAAGTTTGCCCAATTGTCAATCAATGGTAGTTGTAAGTAGAACTACATTAAGTCAGTAAGTGTTGACCCAGTAAGGCAAGCTCCTTGCCCCAGATCCTTACTCATTATCTTATACTCTGTGACCCCAAAACCTTTTCATTGTGATTGCTCAGCTTTAGTTATAATGGAATAGGGATTAATGGAGAGAGGCAGTGAAAAAAACCTGTGAAGGTTTATTTTTTAGGACTTTGTTTTTTAAGAAAAGTGCAGAAGAAATGTTTTTGATCCCCTTCTCATATGCAAGGTATAATGGCTAGATTTACACCACATAAATAAGTACAAACACAGTTTATGCAAATCACGGGGATATATGAGAAATTAGAAGGATTATAGATGTGATGGAAACAAATTAGATTTTTAAATGTTAGCCTGTTCATTTTATGAAACCTCCCTTAGAACCCACTGACATTTATAAATGTGTCTTTCTACATGTACTAGGGAGCTTCATTTTATTTAGAAAGCCCAATAACATTAATGTTTATACATTACAGAAAATCATGGTTTGTCTTTTACTTATAAGGGTCCTTCACTCGTAAGATTTCAACACAATTCACAAACAACAAAAACCCTGACACCATACACCTATCCCCAGCTCAGAATCAAATACACACGCTGGGAGGAAAAATACTATTTTAATTTAAAATCTAGACTCTGTCTTCTTCTTTCACACTACACCCAGTGAACAAGGTCGCACTAATTTCAGAAACCTGCATGCTCCCAGCACACGGAACCCTTCCCATCACAGTCAGGTTGTCAAGAGATATATCCGCAGTTAGAGAGTCAGGCTGCTTTGCCTTGCAGCAGAATAACTCTGCTTTAAAATGCTCCTGGAAGGTTTTGCTCAGCCAGTAAAGAGCAAAAGGATTTACACAGGAATTGCTGAAAGCCAGAACCCGAGACAAAATGGTGACTACAAAATGAACAGCAGAGGGGTCCACATAGGTTTCATAAGCAAATGAGCGGTAGACATACAAAAGGTGACTCGGAAACCAGCAGAGAGCAAATAGAGCCACCAACACCAACACCGTTTTGGCAGTTCTCTTCCGGGATTCAATCTATAAGAGGGAAGAAAAATGGCAAAAGAAAAAAAAATCATTTAAAGAGCCATTCTCTAAATTTACATAGAAATTTATAGTTAACAAGCTTGTGTCCCTTTAAACGTGCTTTTACTCATAACTGCCTGGGACGTGTGGGAAGGCAGCTTGTGGCTATAGAATACAACATGGTGACCCATGATCTTGATCTTATTAGTTCTAATTCAGAGGTGCCCACCTCTGGTTTTGAGATCCTCTAGGACATTTCCAATGATCCCAAGAAGTGTTGAATTCTGGAAATTTTCATTTAATTAAGAACAGAGAGAGATACTATGCAAGACTGCTTTCACCATACTAGCAGAGGTGACTAGGTGAATATTATTCTGGGGTTTATGAAAGTTGCCAAGTTGGTACCAAAATTGTTTTTATTTTATGGGAATTCTAAATATATAGTCAAAGGAATAAAACCAATGTGCTTTCTTCATATGTGAAAATAATCCTACACCTATTTCTTAAAATGTATTGATTTTTAGAGAGAAAGAGAGGAAAGAGGATGGGGAGAAACTTCAATTTGTTATTCCACTTATTTATGCATTCATTGGTTGTTTCTTGTATGTACCCTGACTGGGGATCGAACACACACCCTTGGAGTATGGGGATGACATTCTAATCAACTGAGCTAGCCATTCAGGGCCAATCTTACACCTATTAATAAGAAAAATTAACCAGATGAAATGAAGACATTGCCTGTGGTCACAGATAGAGCAAAGATAACTGTTCACGTGGGCATGCAACTTTAGCACCACTGTTTAACCAACCCAATGGACCAGCTCCAAAAAAAAGGCACTGAGCTCTCCATAAACTTGTCAAGAGGTAAATGGAATTATTCTTCTCCCTCAAGAAATATAGAAATCCTGTTGCATTTTTAAAAATCAAATGGAACAATGTTTTGGCATCATTCTTTTTAGTTTGTTCATATTTATGGGAGGAGAGCACACATGGCTCTTGCAATAGCCTTTTTTCTTTTTTTTCTTTTAGGAATTCCTGTCAATAGGATTAAACAAGCGTCTATGAGTCACTTCTCTCTTGCCACTGGCACTTCATCCCTGGAGACTATGGTTTACTCATCTGTGTGTAAGTGGTTTGCATTGAATAATGTTATAGCTTCTTGCCAGTTGTATCATCCTGTGTTTTTCTATCATTCTGTTACACTTTTTAAAGCAAAAGATGCTTCTCTTTATAGTCTCCCCTTGTGCAACGTTCCTCACTATTCCACTGGGTAAATAATTTTGACTGCTCCCAAACTTCAGCTGTCCCTTTTCTAATAATAGTAGTTCTACCATTTATTGAATGCTTACTATGCACCAAGAACTATGCTAAGCATTTCATATATAACACCCACGCTGAATCTTCTTTTTACAGACGAGGAAACTGAGGCTCAGGGAGGTTAAGTAACTTGCTCAAGATTGCTCAGCTATTGTGTGATGGAGCTGGAATTAAATTCTGGCTCTGACAGACTCCAGAGCCCATGACCACAACAAAAGTACTACAGTGTTATTGTATTTATTGTTCACAGGTGCTAAACTAGGACCTTTCACTTCTAAATTCATGCATGAGTCCTGATTAATACATACCTGCCTGTGGGCATGTTTGTGTTCCTCAATAGGCATGTGCAAGGTACTTTTGTAAAGAGCCCTAGCAATCAAAGAATAATAGACAGAGATAACAGAGAGTGGAATCATGTAGAACACCAAGAAGCACAGCAGAGAATGTATCTCTTGCACGAGCCTCTTTGAAGCAGGATAAGAGGTACATGATTCAAACGTTGTATTTTTGTTGGGATCTCGAAAAGTATATACATTTGAAAATATAGCCTCAGGTACAGCAATTATCATAGACATGATCCAGATGCAGCCAGCTTTGGCATAGGTCTTCAGGATGGCATTGGAGGGCTGTTGCTCCAGTGGCTTTACAATTGCCTTGTATCTAGAAACACATAAATATAGGAAAAGATCAAATAAATATCTTGACTAGAGAACCTTAGGGTTAAAAGTAGTCATCCAGTTCTACCTCCTATCTGAATGTACGTAACTTAAGTCAACATCAACCAGCTGGAGTTAGTTATGGTTTCAAATATACATAATACATCCCAGTATTTTTTATCTGTGCCAATTACTTCTTCTTTTATTCACCAGTATGAGATATTCCAGATTTGCAATTTTGTAATTTTATATGTAGATCCTCTATTTAGGACAAATAAGTTTTTTCCAGCACGATTTTATGTGTGATTGAGAGTAATTCACTACCTGAGCATTACCTTAAGTATTCTAAAATACATTTTGTATAAGTGACTGATGTTAAACCTAGTTCTCCTTTGCTCATGAGTGAGCAGTCATGGAATTCCTAAAAAAGATTTCCATTATTTTATGCAGGAAAGAGGAGAGGGTTAATTTCTTCCCTGTTGAAAAGTGTTAATTTGTTGCCCAAGCCTGTTGCAGGTAGATTTGGGGCAAGGTGAGGGTGAAATGGGAAGCCCTGTGCTCATGCAAAGATGCCTCTTTATTCTGACATATCCACCTTAAAATCTACAGCCTTTAAGTAAATCTGACCACAAATAAAATACTTAAAAATCCAGTCAAAGCAAAGATCCAAAAAAGGCACCGGGAAAGCTTTTCATCCTCTCAGATTCCAGAATCTGAAGAAGCTATTCCTCCCAGTCCTATCAGGCATTGATTCCTTATAGGCTTCTTGCAGACTTTCTTAAGCATCAGTTTTAAAATTTAGAGCCCCAGTTTTGTTCATGTTTTCAGTTACCATTCTACAATAGGAAGACAGAAAAACACACAATACTTAGACTGCAAATATCCTAACAGAGCCTGAATACTGACTGCCGGAGGGTCTCACACTCTCTATCCATAGAGCTCTAAAAGTTGAACAAGATTAATTTATTTTTCTGAAAACAACAATGTCATTGAATGCCCAGAGAGAAAACAAATACAATTAAGTAATGACATTACACTGACTTACCAGGGAGCTGAAAACCTCACCATTTTTCTGCCGTTAATCAATTTGGTAAATTTCAAATAAATTAGATGCATGAGTCTTTTTTACTGATCTTCCGGTAGTCAGTAATGCATATATGGTCAATTTCACACTTAGGCTGATGTTTTAATGTTGACAATATTGCACCACTAGGCTGCACTAACGTATAAAGCATGAATTGTTTTTCTTTTCAACTGGGACAATTTTCGGTGATAAATTGGGGAGGGGGAAACATTTTTTAAATATTCTTTCAAGCAAGCAATTACACCTCAAAGAGAAAACATTACCCCTAAAACATACAATTTCAACCTCTCCTCTAATGCTAACACGGGAATTTTAATGTTCGTACACCAACTTTTATTTAAAATGCCCCCCAATTTTTCAATCTTACACCGGGCTTACAGCGTGAGAAAAGCAGAATAGTAGCCAGTGAACGCTAAGTACAAGCTTTCCTTTTTTTCCCCATCTCATTTCACACTCCGGCAAATATAACTGAGAAAAAAGAAACCCACCTGTCAGCGCTGAGAATTGTTAACGTGAACACTGATACACCAACAGAAGTGAGCCGGATGAAAGAGAGCACCTTACATCCAATTCTTCCGAACATCCATTCTTCTGCAAGGTAGTGGGTTACTTCCACTGGCACACAAGTTAGCAGAAGTAAAAGATCTCCAAAAGCCAGGCTAGTGATGAAAATATTTGGAACCGTTTGCATGGATTTGGTCTTGAAAAAGACTTTGATGAGAATAGCATTTCCAAGGATGCCCACTGAAATGATCACAGCAGACGTTATATAGATGGCACACAATGCTTCTATTCCTGGAGTATTGTCTCCTGTCCATCCTTTATTTTTGGTATCATTAGGAACGACAGGGCTGGATGATTCTGTGTCATTTGTGATTGAAATCAAAGTCTCATTAGGTGACTGAGGCTGCCTTTGAGGCATTTCTTCTGAAGACTATGCCTTTAATATTTCTCCTGTTCAGCTCAAATGTAGCTGATTGTCACGTCTAATGCCCACATCTAGTTATGAGATGCTGGAGAAACAGAGCAGAATGGCAAGGAAACTCAAGACATCCAGATACTGCTTTCCTTCAGTTTTTCTGTTTCCCAGCATGCTTGGCTAAGTGCTCAGGAATCAGGCAGTGAAGAGTCACAGGTGGAGGAGTTTCATTGGTGCTTCAGTGACAGTAGGAGGGGGCCCGGAAAATGCTCTGCAGTTGCATATTGTTACCTCTTGGGGAGTCCTCTGAATACCCTGATAGTATAGACTAATACCTGTTGTTTATTAGAATCACTCTGCTTCGATATTGGACCACAAAGATCTATATAGATCTTGTCACTTTTTTTCTGGAACTCATCATTCACTTTTCTGCAGTCAAGCATGGCCTAATGCAATATCTTTTACATGATAAATAAGTATGTGTGTCCCCTGAAGCACAAACCTGAACCCACTTCTCTAGATTTCATATCAGGGAAATCACTCACATTTTGCCCTAGCTGGTTTCTCAGTGGTTAGAGTGTTGGCCTGCAGACTGAGGGGTCCAGGGTTCAATTCCTGCCAAGGGCATCTACCTCTGTTGCAGGCTCAATCTCCAGCTTTGTGAGGGTGCATGTGGGAGGCAACCAATCCATGTCTCTCTCTCACATTGATGTCTCTCTCTCTCTCTCTTCCTTCCACTCTCTTTGAAAAGCAGTGGAAAAAATATCCTGTAGTGAGGGTAAAAAAATAAATAAATAAATCGCTCACATTTTGACAGGGCTAATGTCACCTCCAAGGAGGGGTAATTCAGGTGACCTGGGCTTATCACCTCGCTCTTACACATGGTAATTCTCAACTTTGTGCGTATTACTGGGTCTGCATTGCACAATTGCAAAGCAATCTTTATGAGATGAAAAATGCAGGAAAACTACCAGTTGCTTTTCTCTAAATGTCCTAATAAAACAGTTTTTAGTGTTTGACTGTCTGTTTTAATGCTATATATTTTTAAATGCTTTTTAGGATTTTTCTCTTTAGAAATGGTTGCAATTAATCTGCCTTGTTCCAAAACAAAATAACACAGAACACAGCTCAAGGTTCTTACACAAAAGGACTTGTAAGAATGAAAATCATTCTTTTCAACTGAGGGAAAGCCATAGGTTACTCGAGAGGTGATGAGCATGTAGTTGTAGATTATATGAACGGAAGGAGGCAGAAAATCAAGACAATTTACTTTAGTACCAGCAAGAAAAGGTCCTTGTTACAGAAAATGTAAGTATGTGATTTATGTGTGTGTATGTGGGGTAGGGGGTTGTTTGGGAGTGGGAAGCCAGCAGTTTGGAGGCATTTAATAATATATCCTGCTAAGAAATATTTTCTGAAATGATCAATTTCAAAGGATAATCTCTTAGCTAGGAGAAACTTTTTGTAGTAAGATGTTTATAAATATATATATCCATATAAGAATTAGCCTGGGAAGTGAAGTGAAAAGCAGCAAAGAATTTGGCTAGCCAGTGAACAGGAGGGGCAAACAAAGATTGCTCTTTATACTGAGAAAATAGGTGTAATACATCCTACAGGGAAAGCGAATTGGATTAATTGAATCAATTATCTGGTTAATCTGAGTACCTAAAACACACCTATCCTCTACCCTTTATGAAATTATCTCCGAAGATAATTTAATTACTCAGTTAAATAGCTATTCTGACAGGAATGGGGAGGGGAAATGTTTGGGTAAACCCAAATACCTTAGCTTTTAGTATACATACTTAGTAATTATATGCACTGGACCAGGTCTTTAAGATGTTCTCTATAGCCCTGGCCAGCGTGGCTCAGTGGATAGAACGTCAGCCTGTGGACTGAAAGGTTGTGGGTTCAATTCCCGGTCAAAGGCATGTATCTGGGTTGCAGGTTCAATCCACGGCCCCAGTTGGGGTGCATGCTGGATGCAACCACTTGATGTGTCTCTCTCACATTGATGTTTCTCTCTCTCTCCCTCCATCCCTTCCACTCTCTCTAAAAAAATCAGTGGGGAAAAGAAAAGAAAAAAGAATTAAGATGTTCTCTATAGAAAACAGCTTTATATGGTCCATATCTTTTCCCACAAAACTAATGATAAAATCTCTCTGGGATTCCTAGATATCTTTTAGCAAAGAGCAAATAGTATCTCCTAATTCACACCTCAGCTGGTGGCCACACAGCAAGAAACAAAACCTGTGTATGATTTCCAAAATCATCTGGATTCCAAAGATCTCAGGTATGCTTTTCTTCAAGCTGCCGCCACCAGCCTGCCCTTCCTCCTCCCTCTTCCTTCTAGTCAGGAGATGTCAGGAGAGAGCAGTGATATTGGGGTGCTGTTGGAATAATGGTGTTCTTATCTCTAGAATTCTAGAATCCCAGAATATCAGAGATTTAAGTGACTCGAGATATGATAAAATTGAATCCTCTATTTTTTCAGAGGCAGAAATGAGGTTCAGAGGGAGAAAGTATCTCATACAAGGTCACACAGGTATTTTATAGAGAAATGGGTTATCTCTTGATTCCAAAAGGTTAAAAATCAGTAACAAGAGCTGAAAAAAACTCTCAGTTCCTGACCGTAATCCATATTTCCTCATTTGGCATTGTGGACTTAGGTTTTCTGCATATTTTACTAACCAAAGAACAAGAGATTTCCTGCCTAACAAGCAATTCATGGTAGATAATTTAAATGCATATGCTTTCATATCTACTTCTTTTACCTTATAATTCACCAACAAAACATAACCATGTCTTTTGTAGTTAAAGTTACAGGGCACTTAGCCTATACAAAATGATGAAATCCTTTTGTTTGGTTTTAGTGCATAATTGGTCAATATTATCTTCCAAGGTTTTCAAAACCAACTACCTGGCTATAGATTAAGCAGCTGTAACACAATCTTAATGTGGACTTTAACTTGAAGGAGGTATTGTATATTGAACAAATAAATCAGCATTTTTCTGAAGTTGGGTTTCCTGATTCAGTCCAATTCACTTAGTGTTGGCAAAATCTTTTTTAAATTTCCAAGGAGCTGGGGATCTAAGGGTGCTAAAGAACTCTTCTCTCCCTCTAATGTGCTGGGGAGAAGGATTAGAAAACAGCTGGTAGAGAGAGAGACTGTAGATTTGGCCCCGAGGTTCTTAGCCATCATTTACACAGAGCAGTGGTTCTCTCAAATTTTGGCTTATATCAGACTCACCAGGAAGGCTCATCAAAATACAGATTGCTCGGTTTCGCCTCCAGAGTTTCTAATTTGTTAGTTCTGGGTGGAGCCTGAGTATTTGCATTTCTAACAAGTTCCCAGGTGATATAGCTGCTGCTGGTAGGGAACCACACTCTGAGAACTACTTATGTAGGATAAAAATAACTCAGTTGTTTAAGAGAAGCATGACATTTCTTGATATTGAGGTCGAAGAGATAATTCTGTTAGTCTTCATTAAAGAAAAAGGAATTATTTAACGTGATGGATACTTCAAAAATGTTCCCTATATTTTTCAGTCTTTGGTAAGCCAGATCTACTGAACTCTTGGGTACCTATGTTCAAATCACCAAAGGTGCTTGGGGTGATTTTTCCAATGGGAGAAAGATAAAGTGAGTGAACTTTTTGCCTATAACTCAAGTGCTAATTCTGTTTGTATCTTTGAGAACTGAAAAATGAATAACCAGATTTCTCAACCTATAAGTCTCTAATTACAGAGGTTTCTTCTTCTTTTTTTTTAATCCTTACCCAAGGATATGTTTTTATTGATTTTTGGAGAGACTGGAAGGGAGGGAGGGAGAGAGGCAGGGAGGGAGAGAGAGAGAGAGAGAGAGAGAGAGAGAAACATTGATCAGTTGCCTCCAGTATGTGCCATGACCGGAGACTGAACCCCCAACCTAAGTGTGTGCCCTGACCGGGAATTGAACCCATAACCTTTTGGTATATGGGACAACACTACAACCAAGTGAACCACCAGACAAGGCACAGGTTTAATATACACACACACACACACACTCATTTGCTGAGAAACAAAATGGATTTCTTTGTAATTAATTAACTGGGTCAATTTTAAGAGAACACAATTTGACTTGTGGGTGACTTGGATCTATGTAATAGTGATTTCTGGTGTCACAGAGTTCTCTGTTCTCCCACATAGTTTCTTGCTCCGAAACTTTACTGGTAGTTTCGTATTTCAAGGGGAGACTATTCAGAATGACTTCTGCAGAGACAAACTAGAATAAATACAAACTGTGTAATGGTAGGCTCTATAAATAGTAGAAATTCCAATTGAAATTTTTAAGTGGAAATTTTGGTTAAAGCAAATTGCTTGTCATGATTAAACCAATGGCTCCTTCAAAGTGAACAACCTTGTAAGTTATTCAGACTTAGATGCCTTTATACACTCGAATCACTGTACTTGTTCACCCACACATGCCTAATATTGTATGCTGTGGTCAATGTGAAGTTCTACAGTTATAATAGTGAGGCAGTTTTGCAGCAGATAATGTTTAGGCTTCCTGAATATTGAGGTACAGATTACGAAGTAGATGAATTTATCTTTTAGTGCATTTCTACCTCTTCTCAGTAATCTCCCTTTTCTTAGAATTCTCTCAGGTCCCTGATCATGTGTTCCATCCCCACAGGGTTTACTTTCAGCCTCCTGCAGGTTAATCTATGTTAAGGTGCTTTAAATAAATAAAGACCCTACACTTGCCATATGGCTTCACAACTCCACTCCTACGTATCTACCCAAGATAAGTGAAAGCATATGTTCACACCAAGACTTGTATGTAAATGTATGTGGAAACATTATTCATAAAAATAAACTGGAAACAACTTAAATGTCCATCAGCTAGCAACTGGGTAAACAAAATCCATACAATGGGATATGATTCAGCAATAAAAAAACAACAACTAGTTTTTAATCTAGTTCATTGGTTATCAATTTTACTTTTTTATGAGACATAGCTATTAACATTCTGTGGCTATTTAGTTAGCAACATGAAACCCTTTCATGATCTATAAGCTGTAGTGGGAATTGTCCCAAATCAAAATGGTGACTCTTGAAAATTGGAAATTGCATATTATCAGAGGCACAAATGATTAAGTGC